TATCCCTTAAGATCCAAGCCTGCTAGAATAATCTCATTTTAAATATGAAAGATAAGCTTCATTTTCTTATGAAGCATTCTCAAAAAAAGCTTGTGGATGTATTCCAAGAGGAAGATCTTTGTCAACTTTCACAACAGAGAAGCCTAAATGCTTGGTGAAGCTTAATTTCAGTCCACTAGATCAAGTAAAAATAAATTTTCAGGCATTTTACTCCTAATTCTATGATTTTTATATATCAGCAACAAAATGTTTAAAAAATGTGATTTTAGCAACAGTTTATCAATTAAATTGAGCTGTTCCATGATTATTTATTTATCTATCAGATTTGTAATAGCCCATCTCACAAAGGTGACTCTGGGTAGTGTACAGTAAAATCAAAACAATAGAAACACATCTTAAAATAACCATAGAAAGCAAGAAACATGCGTGTAACATGGGAATGTTTAAAAACTCATAAATAATAAAGCCATCTCGCAGGCTCCCTGTTCCCAAGGGATCCCCAGGCCTGCTGGAAAAGCCACGTCTTGAGAGCTCCCTGGAAGGCCAATAGGGTTGGGGCCAATCTCACCCCAGGGGAATGGTGTTCCAAAGACAGGTGCTATGGCAGAAAAAGCTCACCTCCTGAGTCCTATCAGATGGAGCTCCTTAGCAGACAGGACCTGTAACATGCCCTTCCTGCCTGGCCTGTTGGGATGGGTAGATGTAATTGAGAAGAGGTAGTCCCTCAAAGATTATAAAATTTTAGTAGAGTTGCCATATAAATTTTAATAAATTAATTTAAATCTGGGTGCATTTGATCCTAGCTCAACAGTAATTTTGAAGGCCAACATGCATTTTTGGGGGGGAGCATGTTAAGTTTGTTTGTTTTAATGTGTTGCCCTTTGCTTTGTTAACTGATTCACTTAATAAGACTCTGTTCAATGGAAACTATATCTTTAAAAATGGAGAAAAGGAATCTTCTGGCTACCTTCTTGTATGTTCTAAAAACCCTATTTAGAAGACCCATGGAAATTATGATGTGCTTCTTTTAAAGTGAGGAGGCATAGTGGTCCTCCCAGAACCTGTCTTAGATAGGAGCTGCAATCTTGTCTGTAACCTCTCCCTTCCTTCTTTTGAGATTGAGATCAGGATTATTGGGGAGGAAGGGCCCAGAATGCTTTATTTTGCCTACCCCAACCCTAAAACAGAGACCAGTTCTCTGCTCTGACCATCCTGCTCAGTAACTGGGAGAGAGCGTTAAAACAGTTTGTTTCCCATTGTTCAGACAGCTGAGTTGCTGAGTAGTGAGAAAAAGCCTTTGAAGGCTCCAAGGTCTCACTGGCTGCCCAGACACCAAGGAAACCATCTGGGGTCCATAGGTGACTGAGGACACTGAAAATGTTACTATATTCTTTTCTCTCTTTTTAAAATCCACAACAAAAATAAAAAAGAACATCCTTTTTACTCCTCCGTAGTTATGCTTGTGTTCTTACTATGTAATTTTTTTTGTAGCTTTTTTGGATTTGCTGTACTATCTTTTATTAGGCCATGACTGCAGTAAGCTGTCCCTTGCTTTCTTCCTTTTCAGATGGTGCATATAAATATAGATAGCATCACAGCAGGCTAATTAGAAGACAAATGTGATATAAAAAGATTTTTCACTGTGCTACTTCTTAACTAAATGGTCAGAATCCATGTGTGAAGACTCTAATTCAAGAACAGTTTTCAAGCAAATCATAACAATGTCATTTGTGATAATGTAATTATTTCTTTTCTAAAAAATGAACTGATTATCAACTAAAAACAATTAAGCCAAAGAACTAATTTAGTTCATCCATGAAATAAAGTTGGACTGAATCCAAATATTACAAATTTAGTGCATCAGGATAATGAGCAGTTTATTTCTGTGAAATTTATAAATAATCAAATCTACAATTTATTAGTTTGATAAAAGCCTAGTCTTATAGAAACCTCAGACAGTTTATCATACAGAAACCATTCTTATTTATGATACTGGACTGTTTTAATTGCATGAGAGTTATTTATAATTATTTTAGTATATTTTTTAATGTAATATAGTAAAATAATGGATTGCCAAAACCATTTAATGGATTGCCAAAACCATTTTATGGAGTGACTTTGGAGTGGCAAATTATTGTGAAGACACCTCACTAACAATCAACACCTTTCATATTCTGAAGATCTTGCTTTGCATTGGAAGGGCAGTACTTTTAAGTGGGCAAATACAGGGAGTTCATACCCTTCATTCTATGTTTATGTTTATATACGTGTCTCTGTGTATCCACTTACTGTCTGCAGTGTTATTTTATTTTAGCTTTTGGTTTTGTTGCCAACATCAGGGAACATTGTTTTTGTCCCAGATAAGACAGTAAAATTCACATTGCTGCCTATTGAAATGCATTTGTGTTTGCTGTGTTTGGACATTAAGATATCCCCTGTTTAAGTTTCATAAAGTAAACTCTGAAAAAAAATCAATCTACATGTTTATGAGCATGTCTGGAAGTGGTCTTTCATGGCTGCTAGATCTCTGGATCCATCAAAGTATGCCTTGATCTTTGTTTCTGTCTGTTCCAGTCCTCCTCTAGAGCACTTGTGTCTCTCTATTGAAATAAATGCAGCAACAAGCTCCACTAGTTAAATTGGATCAGCCAGGGTGTCTAGAAGCTTGGTAAATATTTCCAGTACTGAGGAATTCAGTAACACTCCTTCCATCTTATCAAAGGAAGCCAGAAAAAGTTGTGAAGTATCTGAAAGAGATCTCTTATACTTTTTAACAGCTTCTTAAATCAAAAGGATTTTCTTTTTCCAAGCACAATTCTCATAGAATTTTTCTTTAGTGAGATTTATTGAGACCAGTTTATAAGAACTCCAGCAACTGAACAAGTTCCAATTTAGAACCAATATATCTCCATGTATCTTACTGAGTGGAAACATTCTGATTTTCTTTCTAACAGTTTTGTGGCTGAGATTAGGTGGATCTCTTCACTGATAACAAGAAAATTTGCATCTTTACCACATGAGGCCAAGATTGGCAAATGACCTGGCTATTGCTCTTTCCATCACCTCATGAGTACTGTCAGTATAACTGCTCCTGGTTATAAAGAGTCTTAACCTAATCATGTCCTCTGGCATCCTCTGACAAAAAAATGTGTAATGAATCAGTCAGTATGCCAGTCATCCTGAAAATTAGACCTTAGTGTCTGATAATGAGTCTTTCCTTTTCATATCCATGCATCTCTTTCCTTTCCATATCCATGCATAGGTGGATGGCTCATTTGGCTCATTTTCTCAGTGTGGGAGATCCTAACCATCGACTGTTAGGTGCTGACAAAACTACTTACCAGACAAGCAGTAGAATTCTATTGAATGCCTTTGCTGACTATATTGCATCTCTCATTCGGCGCAACTGCTACTGTAAAGGTTTGCAGCTCTCTTGCACAAAGGCCCAGTTAAACTGGTTCCATTCCAAGAGGTTCACTTTTTTCTTTATTATTTCACTGTTCTAAAGCCTGATGATGAAATAAGACCAATTTTGAAGTGTTGTGGTCTAATTTTGGTCTGGTAGTTAAGTATGGTAACTTTACAGGGCATCATACTTCTGCTACAGCAAGGAAACTGCTTTGCCTCATTAGATCTTTAAGATGTGTACTTCTGTATTGCAATTTGACTATAAATAAGAAGTATCTCTCCTCCAGGTTATGCTTCTTACCAATTTTGAATCTTACCTTTCAACCTCTCTAGTGCCCTGAGGGTCTACACTAAGCACATCCCATCTTCATCTAGGAGACATTTATATCTATCCATATACTGATAATTAGTTACTATCACTTCATGAAAACTGATGCTTTTTTGTTAAATAAATTGTTTATCCTTTTCAACCTCTTGGCAAATACTGAAGTCATATTTACATCCCTCTCAAGCTGTGCTTTTATGGATGTGCAGTATTCATATCTGATGTGGGCAAGGGTACTTTAGATCTGCCCTTTTGATATCAGCAGCTTGGTTCAGAAAAACTATCACTACTATCTTAGTCCAATTGTTTTCAATTGTTTCTGGTATTGCCAGATTGACGGGGCAAAAATAGATGTTCACTATACCAGAGCACTGTTGTCTGCATTTGGGTTTAAAGAGGACAGCTGTCCACCACCATCAGATATGCTTGCTATTCAGTCATGTGTGTGATGTACAGAGACAACAATGAAAAAGAAAAAGTTGCTCATCTGTAACTATGGTTCTTGGATTTATTTGTACATTCATATAATCCACCTTCCTGCTCATCTTCAAATGCCTATGTTGGTGGGTATTTCTTGTTCTGAAATTATTATAACAGTCCTGAGGAGCTATGGGGAATGGTGGGATTTTCTTTCTGAATATGCTATGTAGGCATATTCCCTGCCCAAAATTACCTATTCTGTAACAGATTTCTGATGAAACTGTTATTCATGTGTAGAATGTATGTATGTATGTATGCATAAATGCATGGATGACCACTTGAAGACCACAATTATGATCACTAACTGGTTCATTTACTGGGTACAAATCCTAGTCATACTGATCATATACCATGGTGCTCTATTTAATAACTTCTCAGTGATCGCTACTATTTTTAGATTCTCCCTGTGTTAATCATCAGGTAAAACTTTATGACAGGGCTGGGCAAGGTTTTGGGGTCAGTAGCCACATTTAGAAATTTCAGAATAAAATTTGTGAATGGTCTCACAGAATAGCTGCCATGAGGAGGCTTGCCTGTTCCTTTACCTTTGACTTTTTTGGGAAAGATAAGACATAGTTACAGTGCTTTTTAAAAAAAAAATTAATTTAAATAATTTAAATTTAAAAATAATTCTCAAAACTCTCTGACTTTTTTTAATCCAAAGAAAGATTTCAAAAACATTATCATTGTATAAGTTTACCATTTTTAGTGAGAAATTGAAACATCTTTATGAAATTTTCTAAAATAATGCAGTATTTTTATGTTACATATTTCTTTAACTTTGCAGGAATTTGCTGCACTTACAAAAGAACTAAATGCATGTAGGGAACAACTACTGGAAAAAGAAGAAGAAATTTCAGAACTGAAAGCTGAAAGAAATAATACAAGAGTAAGTATAAAACAATCAATTTTATACAGCATTATCAGAAGACTTACTGTTAGATCTGATGTTATTGAAGAAATGTAATAATGGCTGTATTAGATCTGCACAGCTCTTGGCAGAGCATAAATCATATCCTATGTTAGTGATATTGCATTCTTTTGTACCATTTTTTTAAAATTCAGATTTTTGTATTTTTGAGATTGATTAATTTTCAGGTTTTTCTTTTTGAGCTATTTTTAAAATAGATTTTACTGAACAGTTTCAAGATCACTTGGCCTTTAATAGCTTCCCAGATGTCACTCAGTCTGGCTTTTGACCCACATATGAAACTGCAAATAGCTGACACCTGAATATTGATTGACAAAATTGTGGCTTTTAATCTACTGACCTCACAAGACCTTTTAGTGATCACTAATTATGAAACAATATGAGTTCATGAAGTGGTGTGTTCCCAAGATAATTCTTCAAGAAATCCCACTGTTCATAGCAGGTATGTTCCAGAAAATACTACTATACAATGGTTCATCCACCAGAAATCTTTCAAAAGAAGTGCTACAGAATTAACATTCCCCCCCCCTTTTTTTTTTTTGTGCTCATTTGGTATTCAAGGTGCTGGAAGTAGATTCTATATGAAATTTAGAATCAAAAGATCATAAATAGGATTATGAAATCTGTTTCATCTGCCAGAATAGTGATAACAGAGAATTGTATTAAGTAATAAAGGCTTAACTTTGCTTAGACCTTGAGTAGCAAAGATCAGTGTTCAGAACTAATAAAGCAGCTGTTTCCATATTGCCTGAGAACCAAGTGAAACCAAAAAGTTCCAACAAGTTCTGTTCTGTGAGTTAAATGTATGCATATATGCTCTTAAGCCTATCCTGAGTTGCTCTGCTTTTCATATTGCTTTGAATTTAGTGAGGCTGTTTTACTTCTGATTCAATAAAAGTAAGTCAGTTCTTTACTTACTGGATTCAATCAGCTCATTCAGACACTTCAGGCCCTCAGCAGCGAGCCTACATGTTTCAGCTTTAGTACTTTAGCAATAATGTGTTATGGCTGGGAGTGGATGTAGGTCTAGAGTGGCATATAGAGTAGATATCATTCTACGCTAGAGATATTCATACCTTCATCCATTCTATAAGCATGTTAGAATTCTGATTCATAGTAATTTGTGCCTTTTAGATGAAATGAATATTGATTTATACATTGTACTTTCCCCCTTCCTCCATGTAGTGCAAAACAAGCATTTGATATGTCTCTATACAACTGCTATACATATAATTTTGTTTAATGGATTCTTTACATTCTTTTAAATAGTTTTCAAAATATGAAATTCCTGGTGTTTTGGGGAAGTGACAGGGATTGAAAGTATGTAAATTATATGAAAGATATACATGATAAAAACAAGTTTTGGTTTTATCTGAAGGCTTTGAATGGAATCCACTTGGGCCTGTAACATTTAGGTGCGTTCATAGTTACTAGTGAGCATTTGTATGACCCTTAGTTAAGAACGCCCTGGTTACAGATGACCCATAGTTAAGAACAGAGCCTATTGTAGCAAAATTTGAGTTAAATTTTGAACACAATGATTCAAGTTAAATACACAATACTACTTGTACAGTATTATAAAATAATACTATTCCAGCTTGCATGCAAATTTGATTTAAGGACAGACCTTGGGAATGGAACTTGTTCTTAAACTGGGGACCACCTGTAATTCAGTTTCAAATTCCATTTGGTGTTTTTCAATTCCAATTGTCTTTTTATCCATATTAAACCTTTCTCTTAATTGAAGATATGAAAACCATTGAAAACGATGTCCTTCTGCAGTCAGTTGTTCTCTTGACTTCATCTTAATTTCTCCATCCTCCTGTATTAATAAGTCTTGATATGTTAACCATTTTCCCCTATCTGCTGTTTCTCTTCTATAAAATGCTTCTTGTGCTGAGGTCAGTAAAGGTATCTTTGGACACAGTCTAGGCTTATATTTATTCCATACTCTCAGTATGGCACTTCTTACATAGTGATTTTTGAAATCTACATTAACTTTATTGTACCATAAAAACCCACGCCAACCAAACCAAACCAGGTGCATCATTTTTCAAAACAGGTATCATTTGAAATAAAAACATCATTCTAGGTAATACATTTATTTTGATCACAGAAATTATTCCAAGCAGTGATAGTCACAACTTTTCCCATCTTAGTAATTCTTTCTTAATTTCATTCCATACCTTAACACAATTATCCTGAAATAACATACAGTTCATATTAGACATAATAATACCTGGATACTATTTTTTTTCAATCTGAAAACCAGTTTTTTCAGTCAGTTCTTTTTGATCTTCCATTCTTATATTTTTGTTAATATTTTTATTTTCTCTTTATTAATTTTAAATACAGATAATGCACCAAATTCTTTCAACTTTTTCATTAATATATCTGTTCCTTCCAAAGGATTTTCAACTATTAAAACCAAATCATCTGCAAATGCCCTTAATTTATATACTTCTTTCCTCACCTTCACCCCCATTATCCTCTCATCTTGTCTTATATCTCTGTTGAGAACTCCCAAAGCCAAAATAAACAACAATGGTGAAAGTGGGCAACCTTGTCTTGTCCTTTTCTGTATTTCACAAGGTTTAGTTAATTCACCATTAACTGTAATTTGTTCTGTTTGTGATGTATATATTGATTTTACCCATTTAATAACATTTTCTCCAAAATCCATTTTTTCCAAAATTTTAAGAAAAAAGTCCAGCTCAAATTGTCATGCTTTCTCTGCATCAAAAAAACCCAATGTGACTTATTTTCATTGTGTTGTTCCAAATAGTCTAATATATTATGACTATTTTTATAAAGTCTCTCAACTTATAGGTAAGCAGCTGCATTGATCTTCATGTGCATAAAATTTTGCAAAACTCCCTTCATTCTTTCAGCTAAAATCATAGTAAATACTTTATAATCATTGTTCAGTAAAGGGGAAAGAAATGGTTTGATATTTTTTTTTAGTAAAGTAGGGTCTTGTCGTTTATGAATTAAAGCAATATTTGCTCCTTTCCAACTTTCTGGTATCAATTCCCTTTCCAGAATAGAGTTCATCATTTTTTGCAAAGGTTGTATCAATTATCTCCAAAGCATTTTTAATAAGATGCAGGTAATCCATCTGGTCCTGGGGCTTTCCCTATTTTAGTCTTTTTTATTGCCTCATAAACAAAGTATGTATCTTGTTAAGATTAGTCGGGTAGGAGAGAGAGATTGTGTTGGTGTTCCAGTGGCCTGCTGCCTAGTTTAGTCCTGTCTTGGAAACTGACCCAGGGCTTTTGGTCTTGGGGGATTTGAGGCTGTCTTGACACAAATGGCTAGGGATTTCATGGCTTCCATCCAGTTGTGCCCTGTCCATGGATGGATCCCTCCTGGTGAATGTTGGGCTGTTGCAACTAATCCTACTGTATAGGGCAAGGGTCAAAGCCTCTGCATATCTTTGAATTCTAAAGAACTGACTGTAAGAACAAACTGAAGCAGACTCTACACAAAACAGAATGGCTGTTAATTCTCACTTCCCATTAAGAACCAGCAAACTGCAATGACATAAAATGATCACACACATTTATATTTATTTATTTATATTTCAAATTTGGACACCACCCATCTCACAAGGAAGTGACTCTGGGAGATTTACAATAAAAACAACAAATAAATATTTGTCAAAATACAATAAAACTAGTATAAAACCAAATATCTTCCAAGGTGATATCATCATGTAAATGCTGCCATTATGTTCTCGTGTCCTAATGTCTCATCTAAAAACACAAGTCACAAAGTTTATGTAATGCCATCACAAACATGTTGTGTGACTTCCCTTTATCCCTTCTTCCTCCTACACCAAGCTTGGGGTTCCTTCTGGATGTGGAATTGATGTGAGTAGCATCAGTAGCAAGCAGGCTTTGGCTCATAACTAAATGATAATACTTTCACATGTACTTATATACTGATTGATATTTTTTTTTAGTTTATTTCAATTATGTCTCAATTAACAATATATCAATATATTAGATATTCTTAGTTTGCCACTCCAGCTAGTGTGATATTGTGAATTGGACTAGGACCAGGAGACTCAGATTCAAGTCTCCTTTCAGCCATGGAAGCTCCATGGTTGACTTTGGGTGAGTCGTTCTCTCTCAGTCACAAGGTTGTTGTGAGGGAAAATAGGAGGAAAAAATGCCTGGTACACTGCCTTGAGCTCCTGCAGCAAAGATGGGATATAAATTTAACTGATGAATAAATAAATAGCAAATGAAAATGAAGCAGTTAATTCCAAGAGTTCAAGTAATTATGTATAGTTTATTTCTTGCTATCTTGTCTACACAGGACCTTGAGAAAAGAGTGTTACAAGGTTTCTAATATTGGAACACCTGCCAGTTTTGTTATGATTTTGTTTTAGACTTTAGAAATATAGTGGCATTGAGCTTTAGGTACAAATGAGCTAATTTTTTTTTTTTATGTTAAAATAGCTGTTACTGGAACATTTGGAGTGCCTTGTTTCAAGACATGAAAGGTCACTGAGAATGACAGTGGTGAAACGACAAGCACAGTCTCCCTCAGGAGTTTCCAGTGAAGTTGAGGTTCTGAAAGCATTGAAGTCTTTGTTCGAACACCATAAGGCTTTAGATGAAAAGGTACAGTATGGAAATAAATGCTTGCTTACTTTGCATATTCTCTCTTTGTTTTCCCCGGACTAGCATGCAAGATTTGTTCCTCATCCTGTTGGCATATGTGGTAATGAGTATTTCAGGATGTTCTTCCCCACCTCTTCTTTTTTATTTCTTGAGAAAGCTTCAGAGGCAGTAGCCGTATGCCAAAATGTTGTGCTCATCGTGGCAAGCCTTTATATTGAATGGATGTGATGTGCCCTTTGGTGAAGCCAGTACCAGCCCATTCAGGATTAGCTTTCCTGAGGATTTGTATATTCCCCACTTCTTCTTTTTTTTCCCTCTCTCTCTTAAAAAGCAAAAATTGAACTATTGCTACATTTTTTAAGACTTTTGAAGGCCATTTATTAATTCCCAGAGCAGGTATCAAATTTTCATACCATACTTTTGAACTAAATATTTTCACCAGCATACAAGGGGCTCTTGTGGACATCTTTTAAAATTATCAGGCAGAGGAATTTATTTCTCTTCCCAAGTTTTTGAAAGGAATTCCATACTTTCCAACATTTCAGATGTTTGAAACCTTTGTATTTTCATGATAATGATAAGGAAGGGAGTTAAAATCCAGCCTTTTTCCAGGAGCTCAATATAGCTTACATGGGATCTGTGCTCATTGTATTCCCCTGACAAAGATCCTCTGAGGTAGGCTGATCCAAGAAAGAGAAATTTACCCAAAATTACTCAGATTCCAGTACAGTTTTGAATATTGCTTGAAGAACTTTGTTCTTCTGTATTAATTTACTTTGTTAAGAGCCTGTCTTCCGTTCATCTAAAATCAAAGCCAGGGTTAATGAAGAATATCAAGTTGTCTTGCAATATGTAATCAACAGTTCAAAAGATGCTTTTAGCAGTTGCAGTATATCAGATTGTACACTGCATGGTGCCTGGTGAGGAAATTAGATTTTAACTTTAATAGTATGACTAGCAGATCTGTCTAGTTCTTTTGAAAGGCCTTATTTTTAATGCTAATTTGCTACAAAAGGATCATAATGAGAAAGTGAACAGTAGGATTATATTTCGCCACTTTTCATAGCACTGATGAAAATAACTTTTTGCTTCCCATCTCTGATGTGCATTGGAGATAGCAGATATACCACATGCACAGAGATTTAAATTCTAAACAATCTGGGGAACCCCAACCAATGAAACTAATCTTACATGAACAAAATGGCCAAAGCCCTAAGCCCCAAATGCAATAGGTACTTCCAAATGAGTCAGTTACTCATAGTTAATTTGCAGAAGCCATATTTCCTTCTAAAATGAATTCTATGGAAGTAATAGTTACTGTCTATACAGATAGATTCCTGGATGGTTTTGAGAAATGAATATTAATTATAACATATAAACTTAGAAAGCTATCATAAAGCATTTACTGTTCCTTTTATTTGAAATGAAGCTTACAGATTTGATTAGAGTTACAGATATGATTAGAAGACTAGTATTCTACTGAGAGAATGTTATTCAAACACATTCAAACAATATTATAAAGTCCCAGTGATTAAATCTAATAGTCTAATAGTAAAGTCAAAACTTACATAATGCATCATTGCTAGAAATATTCTTTGGGGACCAATATGGTTTATAATTTAATTTCACTTTGCAAGAGACCCAACCCCAAAGCCACCCACCATTAAAAAAGTAATTGTGTAGTTTTTTCACGTAGCATATTAATGAATAAAAAATTAGCCTGAACATTCAGCAAATAATTACTTCAGTAAGTAGAAATCTCTCCCTCCCCCAACTATATAATAATCTTTCTGCATTCTTTTTAATACAAAATTGAGATCGAAAGAGTTCCCTAACCTATAGATGAAACAAGTGATAACCACTGTATCTTTAGTACAGTGATTTCTTAGTTACTTCTATATATTCCAACCTCCTGGAAGTAGATGGAATTTAGCAGACTGAATTGCTTGATGCCCAATAATCTATCAAATTAAATAAGCACAAAGGTAAATTGATTTGTCATTGTTTCACATAATGATTTCAGTCAAAAAAAGGCATTTCTTAGCCAATGCAAAACTTCACTGGGCAATTATTACCAGATCAGAAAGTTATAGACCCAAAGTCTGAGCATAGGCTAGTAAGAGTACCTTATTAAAATCCCAGTGAGCATAGGGCTTCAACAAAAGTTGTAGTTTAGAAAAATAAATAGTAGGATGGCAACTAGAAGTATGAATACAATAACTCTGGGTGGCTCACAAGGACAACAATAAAACATAAAAGAACTATAAAACTGCCAAACTCCCAACACCCGAAAACAACACTCCCCCACACATGAGCATTCACATTTACTGGGCCCCATCTTCCCCTTAGCCCAACTCTTAGGGGGACATCTTATTAATATTAATAATCCATTAATCCAAATTAATAATTTGATATCAATACTATTAATAATACAATAATCCACATCAATATTCCATTAATTTGTGGGGAGGCTGATTGAATGTTTCTAGCTATAAAAACCCAGGATATCTTTTGTTTCATAATTTCACTCTGTCCAGCTAGTCTTCCAGACATGATGCTGGATGGTAGGGGACAGCTGAAAAACAAGTAATAGGATGGGAACCAATAGCAAAGAATCAGAACAGTCTCACAGGACAGAATTCATAATTATTCGCTGTATTTGATATACATAATCTATATACTACTAAAACTTTCGTGTCTGTAACCTTGGGTGAAATACTGTGTCATAGGGCAACAATTTTTGGACTAAATGGGCTAATTTACAGAATGCGTCCAAAATCCAGGACCCATTACTCCCATGGGATTGAAAGTTGGGAAAGTTGTGGCTGCTTCAGCACTGCTGCACTGCTGCACCACTGTAGTCAGCCCAGGTCATGTGATTGTCATGGGCATATCCCCAACCTCCTTCCCCTTTCTCTCTGTCCCCTGCACCCAACTGGCTGGTGGCAAGGCCCGATAGGTGAGCAGTGATTGGCTGCTTTGGAAATGAGCCCCAAATTTTAAATCTCTTAACAGCGGTTGGCATTGAGGGAAGAATGAGGGAGTGACTTGGATGCCTGCTGGTGAGGTAGGGCTGGCTGGGAGGGACTGATGGTCGATGGGTGAGCCCTGTTCCTTGAGGGAGGGGGCCCTTGGGGACATGCCAGAATAGGGAGCAGGGGTGCAGTTTTCCTCAGGGTCTGCAGCTCCCTTTGTTCCACCTCCCTCCAGCAAAGTGGCAGGCAGTTCTGCAATTCAGCTGAGGAGGAGGAGGAGGTGGCTTCACGGGGTCTCTCCTGAGGATCATGAGGGGAGGGCAGATGGTACAAGCCTATATTATATGTGGAAATGAGGGAGGGATGGAGGGAAGGAAGGAGGGAGAGTATCCCCAAACTCTTTCCAACCTCCCCCTGCACCCAGTTGGCTGGTGGCAAGGCCTGACGGGTGAGTGGCAATTGGCTGCTCTGGAAGTGAGACAGAAATTTTAAGTCTCTTAACAGTGGTGGGTGTTGAGAGAAGGACAAGGGAGTGACTCGGATGCCTGCTGGTGAGGTAGGGCTTCCCGGGGGGCACTAGTAGTCAATTGGGTGATCCCTCTTCCTTTCTTGAGGGAGGGTGCCCTTGGGGACATGCTGGAATGGGGAGTGGGGATGCAGTGTTTCTCATGGTCTGTGGCTCCTTTTGTTCCACCTCCCCCAGCAAAGTGGCAGGCAGTTCCATGGGTCAACCGAGGAGAAGGAGGAGGCTTCACTGGGGCTCTCCTGAGGGTTGTGATGGGAGGGCATACAGCACAAGCCTATATTATATTTGGAAAGGGAGGGAGGGAGGGAGGGAGATATAAATGGAGTTCTTTCAAATACAGATACAACTGCTATATGCAAGGAATCCCCTCCCAGCTTAATAGAGCCTTGAGTCCTTGTTGCCCACTGTAGCTAATACCAGTGCATTGGTGTACATTGAGGCAATTCACTAGGAGATGCTTGCCTTTCTCATGTCCATTCACTTCTTCCTCTGAATTTAAAGCAAAAATAAATTAAATGGTACAGAGACAGAAATTTAGATGTAGAAGTAGCTCCATTTCCTTTCCTTTCACTCACTTTTGCACTAATGGCTGGACACATGTTCTTGTCTAGGCAAGAACAGAGCTTTATTTGAGGCCTTTGGAATTTCACTTCATCTTGGTGCTAAGCCCATGGATTAAAAGCATGTTTGGCTAATACTATTAGTTATTTAAAAAGTACTGCACTGTTTAATGTTTTGCCAAACATGTATAAGTGCTAGTTGGCCCTTGGATCAGGCAACTGCTATATACAGTATACATCATTGTTTACTGATCTATACACCCCAATATTAACCCATGGTTTTCTTCAGATTCTGATTTCCTGTGCTTTTAGTAAAAACAAAATTAAACCATAGTTCTGCATTTTGCATATCATGGAAAATAATGGTTAAATCAAGCATGTCCTAAATACCAATTCCAGCATAATAAGAGGGAAAGATGAAATGTAAGACTCAAGTATATTTGTTTGTTTGTTTGTCTGTTTGCTTGTTTTGGTAATATCTAGACTCCATGTATAGCATTCAGTCAAGTTGCTATATAATATATTTTTCTTCTAGGTAAGGGAACGACTAAGGGTTTCTTTAGAAAGAGTCTCAGCGCTTGAAGAGGAACTAGCAGCTGCTAATCAGGAGGTAACAAAACAGAACTTTTTTGTGAATTCTAAATGGGATCAAACTTTTTAAAAAAGATAATACTCTGGATTAAAACTTATATTAATAATTTATAGGAATACTTGTTTTATTCAGGTCATCTAATTGCAAACAATTGTGCTGTGAGTATGTACTTTCTAGTGGGTGGGGTGTGAACAACAGGATATTGGCTTGGAAGACTGGATGTTGGCTTGAAAGATCAGAGATCCTAATTGCTAGAATAATGTCAGCATAATTGGGACAAAATTTGGCTTTGATTGTGTTTATGGCGTACAAGCTAGCATGTGCCAGAACAGATCAGTGCTGCCCTCATTATTAGGAAAGAATGTTACATGTGGCATGGATATGACTAAGAATGGTAACCTAGTCCACTTTATCTTACTAAAAAGTGTCATGTGAAAGCTTCTATTGACCAATGCCATAATGGGCATTGGATATTAATATCTGTAGGATTATCCATTGATGAACATGGCATATGGAAAATTGTGACTTGGAATGTAAGAAGAGCAAATGATAAAAAGTGTAAATAAATGAATGAAAGGAAAGGAAAATAAGTGTGTTATGTGTTTGTGAAACAGATAGAATGTCTTACTAGGGTTCAGTTGAAGCCTGTTGTTCCCCATCCAGACCCCACAGCCCCCAAGCACCATGAAAGAACACCCACAGCATCACTTAGTTTACCCAGGACAAAGATATACAGTTGAGCATCATCCACATACTGATGATACCTCATCCTGTGGGGATGGATGATCTCACCCAGCGGCTTCATGTAGATGTTAAAAAGGAGTAGAGAGAGCACTGAGCTCTGTGGCACCCCACAACCAGGGGCTGTGGGCTGGACCTCTCGCTCCCTATCAACACCGATTGGGACTGGCCTTGGAGGAAGGAGGTGAACCAGCACAAAACTGTGCCCCCCACCCCCAAATTCCGCAGCCAGCCCAAAAGGATGCCATCGTCAATGGTATCAAAATCCACTGAGAGGTCAAGAAAAGCCAGGATGGATGCACTACCCCCATCCTGTTCCCACCAGCAATCATCTAAAAGCGCGACCAATGCTGTGTCTGTCCCATATCTGGGCCCGCAACCCAACTTGAAGGGGTCCAGATAATCTGTTTCATCCAGGATCCTCTGGAGGTGCCTCTCCACCACCTTTTCGACCACCTTCCCCCAAAACAGGAGGTGAGAGACTGGTCAAAAATTGTCCAGAATGATGGGGTCCAGTAACAGCTTCTTGAGGAGAGGGCAAACCAGTGCCTCTTTAAATGGAGTCAGAAACACCCCCTCCCGCAAGGATGAATTAACCATCACTAGAACCCACCCACATGTCACCTCCAGGGTAGCCTTGACCAACTAGGAGGGGCAAGGATCTAATACACAGCTGGCTGCATTTACAGACCTGAGGACCCTGTCCACTTCCTCGGGTCCAACAGGATCAAACTGTTCCCAGATAACTGGGTAAGTCCACTCCCCAGGCAAATATATGAAGGAAGAATGAATGTGTTGAGAGGAAGGGGAGATCTGAGAAAGTAGTGGTTAGATGGAGTGAACAGAATCCTGAAAACAGACAGGTGAGATGTTTAAAGAACAAAAAAACAGTATGTGAATTGGTGTAGGGACATGGTCAGAGCAAGGAAGGTTTGCAAGCACAGAAAGGTATAGATAAGTATAGTGAATTGTATTGTTATACATTAGATTGAGTTGTATTTCTTTTACCTTTCTCTTATCTTATCCCTTTAATTTCTTATTATTTCTTACGGCTTTTCTGTACTTGGTCTAATGTTGCTTACCCCAGAAGGGAACACCATGATGGTAATGTACTGTGGTCTGTGCCTATAACTATGTATATATTGTATGCTTGCCATGAGTTGCTAGGAATCATGAGTGTTTAGAACATGCAGAAGTCAAAAGTATATTTCTGAGTCTAACACTTAAAAGACCAAATGTTGTTATGCTCAAAATTTTGTATATTTTCTGCAGCAGTACTCTCGCCCATGTAATAAGCTAATGGTTAGTTGCTCACCCAGATTCTAGGTAATGCAGTCAACTGGCACCAAGGCTGGGCAAGAAAGGACAATGGATGCAATTATAGGGTTTTAGACAGAGGCTAAAAAGAGCTTGATAATTCCAGCACTGTGCTCAGAATTGGTTAGAGAACAAAGAAAAAAAATAGGTGTGCCCTGAACAAGAAAAAATAAACATTAGGGAGAATAATAATAATAATGGTCCCTTCCAAAAACAAGCCAGGATTATTAATCATCATTCAAGAGTGTCTGCTTCACCTGTAAAAAGAGTAGTAACATGGAGGGAGTTGCTTAGTTTGCCCATGGAATAGTCCCAGGATCAATGCAAGAAAGTCTACAAAGGAGAAAGCTGTGTTTGAAGATAAATTTTCACATGCAGAGTTCTTTTCCTAAAGAGTGATTTCCTGAAATATTTCTTTGTTTCGGTAGGGAATGAAGCTACAATAGCATTCATAGAAATCATTCAAGGGAATTATCTTGCAGAAAATAGTGCCTACGCTGAGCTTAATGCTAATTTATAAATTAACTTTACCTAGATTTGCAAATCAGTTTCCCAAAAGATACCATTCCCATTATAGAGCAGTATCATAGAAAATATTGCTTTAAATTGTTTTTCCCCCATAGATCAGTTAGGAAGGGCTCTGTTGGAACACTGTTTAAAACAGGGTCTTTTCTTTTTAATGAATTGAACCCTGAAGAAACTTGTTTGGAAGAAATATTTTAGTAATTCCTTCCAGCCAGGGAAAGCATAAAATACATTGCTGGTGAAAACAAATTTTAAAAGGTGGCAAAGTATACATCTTGAAAATAAGTATATTCTATCTAGAAAACCACAAGGTCACAAAGGTAAAAGTGCAAATAAAAAAATCTGGGGTAAGGCTGTCTGTAGGTGCTTTTGTACAAATCCTAAAAGTCTCTCTGCTACAATGGGGCCACTGGAGTGTTTAATATTGGAAGAGAATATAGTTATAGCAATCTGTATAGAAACCTGCTGGAATGGAAATAACCAATAGGATATGGTTATCCTTTTGTATAAGTGCTATAGAAATCAACGAAGATATATATTTATCCCATTTTAAAGAACTAACCTGGTAGAGAGTACAATGTCTGTCTATCACTGCTTCTATCTGAGCAGGACCCTGACATATCTTTCCAGGTTGCCTGATTTTGTGCTATCATTTGTTGTTTGTTGTATCTGTCCTACCTAGAGTTGAAGTTTAGTACAAATGTTGGTGATTGCCACTGCTATTTGTATTACAGTTACTATAATAATGTATGTAATTTTATTGCATTTTTAAAAGTTTTATTAATAATTACAGGTCTGTGTATTTTATTGCTGTGTTTTCTGGCCCATAGGCCGTAATAAAGGTTTGATTTGAAAAGATTAGGAAGGGCATTCTGGGATTAGAACCCTCCTGTAGGTTAGAATTAGAACTTTCTGAAGCAAATTCTTCCACTGAATCACTGTAGGTATTCATATTAATCTCTCAAAAGCAAGTTAATATTATGAATATGCTATACCCACCCTCTACAAAGAAGCTATATCTGATTTTGGATGGAAAATTAAATTAATGACACCTCTGAATGTAAAGAGCAGGAGCACCAGCCTTCTCAGGAGTAACTCTGATTTTTAACAGGTGGAAAGTGAGTCTTAACAGATGCTGCAGGCTAGCTTGTGGGCAGCTGAAGGCAGGGTTATAGAAAAGGCAAAAGAGGAAAGGAAGAAGAGAGGAATCAAAGGGGCTATTTTGTTTGGCTAAAAGAAGCTCTTTTTCTAAGCCAAAGGAACAGGAACCGGAACCTGGAGGAAGATGAAAGGGCGGAACATTCTGAGCCATCTAGCATTGTTTGGAACTAATAAGTAGCTTGGCATGACTGAATCTAGACTGCCCGCATGTGCCTCCTTTGGAAGAGGCATTGCTGATTTGGCAGGAGCCAATATCTCTACAACCAAATAGTAAGCAACAGTAAAATAAGTTGACCTGCCTGGTCTACCAGGCAGGGCTTCAGATGAATTTGTCAGCTACAATTGCCTACTGGTAATTTACACAAGGAATACATGGATGCTGAACCTGTTGCTTTTATCCTTTTTTCATTCTGTTTGTTTTGAAGCCATTGTTGTTGGAAGATCAGAAGCTTCAAGGACCACCTTTTGCTATCTGTGTATAAGCCCCAGACCTGAGAATTAAGGGGACAGACAAAAGGAAACTTAGCTTCAATCTTACATTCTTGGTTGGCCCAGTCATTGAGAGACCTTGTGCTTGCAGCTGGTATAGTCACCTCTTTTGCTAGCCTGACTATCCTACCGAAAAAGCCTGACATGGATTGGGAAAATACATGATCTGGGCAGAATGTCATTTCTTCAGTTTAATTTTGGCATTTGGCATTTAACCTTACCCCCTTCCATAGTAATAATATTGAAGAAGTTAGTGACAAATTATAGCATACTTGCCTAATTCAATCAGAATTCTAAAAAGGTCCAGAGTGCCTTTGCTTTAGATTTCTATCACACTGAAGTAGAATGTACTAAATTTCAAGTTCTCATTAACACTGAATTAATTTACAGTGCAATTATTAAGAAACCAGAGGAAGCAGTTTGTTTGTAAATGCTTAGAACTGGGGAGAGAGGAAGAATTGGGACATATTAAGAACTATGATTCATTTAAATATTTCTCAGAAGGATTGTCCAGAAATTACCAGCATGACCACTCCATATATCTGAATTTGTATTTGAGAGAGTTGGGAACAGGAGAGGTTGTCTTTCAATTGCAATGGGACATTTTTAGGAAGCAATGTTACCTTTTATAGGCATAACTTATATACAGTATCTGGGGTTGGGGAATTAGAGATCAATGTGTTAGCTGACATTTGCACAGGTAGCTGACTTCTTGATTCTGTAGCTTATGTTAGCTGCAGTATTATATAAATCTTCCATCATGACCACAAGTCATAATTTGACAC